CGAGTTCTCTGACAACAACTGGACTCACCAGACCTTCCACGCCCACGGTATGGGTGTCAACTCCATTAGCTGGGCTCCCGCCGCCTTTGCCGGTAGCCTGATCAGCTCCAACCCCGGACCTGGTCAACAGCGCCGGTTCGTCACCGGTGGTAGTGACAACCTGGTCAAGATCTGGGACTACAAGTATGTTTTTTGACTGAGAGTGTTTAATCACATAAACTGACTGCATCCTCCAGCGCCGAATCCAAGTCTTACAACCCTACTCAAATTCTCGAGGGTCACTCGGACTGGGTCCGTGATGTGGCCTGGTCTCCGAGCATCCTCTCCAAGTCCTACATCGCCTCAGCTTCGCAAGACAAGACCGTTCGTATCTGGACCTCCGATGCCTCCAACCCGGGCCAGTGGAGCAGCCAAACACTCGAGTTTGACACTGTTCTGTGGCGTGTGAGCTGGAGTCTCAGCGGCAACATCCTTGCCGTAAGTGGAGGCGACAACAAGGTCAGTTTGTGGAAGGAGAACCTCAAGGGCCAGTGGGAGAAGGTCAAGGATATCGAAGAGTAGTGGTTGTTTCTTTTCTATGTTATCTATTCCCTTCCTCAACGCATAATTTCTTTACACCTTCAAACAAAAAGATACGCTGCTTCACGTTGCAACGGTTCTACAGAGCCGATAATCTAGACTCAAATCTCAAAAGGCAATTGTCGACAATCTGTTCAATGGTCCTACCTAGCTCTCTTCTCTCCGTTCTCTCTTTTTGGCCCATCGTTCTCCTTCCCAGCATGCCCCTGCCGATATGCGGGAGACACCTCGATGCAACAGCACCGAATCGACATTGCCCGAAGGCACACATCACACGTCCCAGAAAATAAAAGGGCCCCGGCCAGTCTGGTCCTTCGTGTCCACCCAGCGCCCCAGCATCACTCGTCCTCCGGGGATGATCAGGGCCTCGTAGGAGTGAACCCACTCAGCGTCCGCCATTGCTGTGCGAAATGCAGCATAATTGACGCTGGTGTCGCCCTGCCAGATGGTGAAGCAAATGCGGGTCCAGCCACTGAATTCCCCGTAAGTGACGTCGATATCCTCGGTGAATCCAAAGATTGTGTTGTCCTCCTCATCAGTGATGCCGTGAATGTTCTGCTTTCCCTCAAAGTACACGCGGCGAATCTCAGGCCCAACAAGGGGAATGATCTCTCTGCAGATCTGGGGCCAGAAAACGTCGGCATTGGGTTTAACCTTGAGTTTGAGGGTCTGGGCAAATTTAGTCTGGTATCTGACAATATCGTGACGATGTTCGAATTTGACTTACCATAACGTCGATCACATCGACGTGGGTCTCCAAGTCTGCGCATGTTTGCCGGTTGAGTAGCTCAAATTCCTCCTGAGTTTCGGGTAGCGGGTGCAAGCAAGCTAGTTAAAGGGGGTCAGTTTTCGGTATATATCAAATGCTTGGAGGCTATTTGTTACTCACAATAAACCCCCAGCCACGAGGTGCTCAGTTTGCAGCCATCGTCCGGGTCGAGCTTTCGAACCTGGGGCTTCATGTACGCTGGAAGAGACGCGAAGGTCTCGCTGTAGGTCAGCTCAGATGCGGTCAGCAGGTGACGCTGCCAAAAGCTTCTCATTTGCAGCATTTTCTCAAGGTCGAGATTAACATGATCAATGTAGGGCTCGCCCAACTCTTCAGCGAACGAGTAAAGGGTAGCGAGGTTGTAGTCGGTACGGTGGCATGCCTGTGTGACTGTCGAGTCCAGGGCAAGGGGAGTCAAGCACTATACCAGACAACAATGTTAGTAAAGGCTCCCTGTTAATGTACAACGAGAAAGTGTACCAGCTGGAGGGCGAAGAAAAGCTGAGATGGGCCTTCTTTTCGTGGGTACTTGAGAAGGTTCATAGACTTGAGCGACTCATAAAGTCGGTCCAGGGTCTTGGAGTGACAGTCTTGTTCAAGATGTACGGTGATCGCTTCCTCGAGCATCGTTTTCAAAACTCGCATGCAGAGATACTGGCGATCGTCTTCTTTTTCTGCAAAGTTGAACTTTGCCCTCAGAACGATGGCACGAGTTTGATACTCGTGCCTGAGCTCGCTCGAGGCTTTGACAGATGGAACATCGTAGCATCTGGTGAATAGGCTTCGCCAGACAACTGACTCCGGGGCGAACACTTTGGCCCACATATCTCTGCATGTCCGAGAGAATCGAAGGACATCGTGGTCTGTTGGAAGGAAGCTGGCAATTTCTTGAACAATCTATTGGTTCGATGGATTAGCAAGATATACTGTACAATGAGGTGATGCACTTACCTCGTTCGGAAGGCCAAGAATATTTTTTTCAGAAGCAGGAGGGTTGTGAATGGCAGCTGGCTGTGTAGTGGATGGCAATTGCCCATCGCTTTGGTCGTTTTCGCATAAAGGTACGTTGGACGTCATTGTTCTATTTGATGCTCGTGTTAGTATAGTTCATGGGATGATGTCTGGGCCGGTATCTGGGTCATCCAGCATACGTACGAAAGACAATGGACGAACGAACGAGCGCGCGTAATGCGAAGGAAAGAAAAAAGAGGGCAAACAAGCGCTCGTTTATGAAGTGAGGAGGAAAGGTCCGCTTTGAATTGCCTCGTTTTAGAGTATGAACCTTGAGGCGAGCAAGTTTTAAGAGAAATCGAATCTCGAATATCTGATCGAAGCTCAAATATGGGATCAAATCGAAGACCAAGCGAAATTGTACTGTATGAGATTGTGCGTTCATGTCTCAATACTATTCAAGTCGAGTGTGAAGATACTTTATACACGAGGCACGACACGCCTTCTTTGCAGGCTTTCCTTCACTCCCCAGCCCTCTGACAAAAGACCTTTTACTTCTTCAAGGCCAAGTCCACTCATCTCAGGGTAAATTGCCCATACTGCAACCCATCCAGCTACACAGACCAGTGCATATAGAAGGAAAGTCCACGAGGGTGAGATCCATTCCATCATGGGTAAGAAGGTAAGGCCAATGATAAAGTTCGATCCCCAATTAGTTGCAGTAGCCAACGATGAGCCCAGCGAGCGCACGCTCAGAGGGAACAATTCTGACTGCTGCCAGGGAACATTGCCGAGACCGAAGGCATAAGCCGCAGTGTATATGGTAAGACAAGACAGGATAGCAAGGGGCAAAAAAGAACCGGCACTATCGGGGGGTTCTTCACGTCGCGTTGGGGGTTGGTCATTCCATACATCCTTCAAGGAAGAGAATGACAGCGCGCAGATGACCAGGGCAACGGTCATCACTGGCATTGAATAAAGCAAGATTCGCCGGCGTCCGATCTTGTCAATCAGCGCAAATGCAAGAAGCGTGAAAATAAAGTTTGTCACAGCCACTGAAAGAGACACCAAAGTCGGGGAGGAGAACGATAGAGCCGAGAAGATGGTTGCCGAGAAGTACATCAGACTGTTGAAGCCACACAGTTGTTGAACTCCCTGAAGCATCATCGCGATGATTAATGCTCTCCTGTTCCCACCATGCAATAACTGCTGCCCCCGTTCAAGGGTATCGTGTAACCACTGCGGCTTTGTACCACGAGCTTTACCCTGTCCTAGCTCTAATGCCTCTTCATCAATCTCCCCGTTGATATCGTGCAAGACTCGATCAACCACGCGGTCACCTCCAGGGCAATCTTGGTAAATCTTGACTAGAACGGCCTTCGCTCGGACACCAAATCCGGCCTGAACCAACCACCGAGGCGTCTCGGGTAGGAAAGCGAGAATGGCAAGCTGGAAGAAGGCCGGGAATGCTCCGAGGCCCACGATCCAGCGCCAGCCTCCGGTTGTACTGGTGAAAAGCCAGCCAACTATGTATGCTACCACCTGGCCGCCGGTGATGAACAGACTGAGAATAGTAACAAGTCTTCCTCTTGCGTTCGATGGTGCCAATTCAGAAATGTACCTGCAGGCTCCCCCATTAGCAATCTTGCTCCGTGATCAGTCGCATGGTATGGCTTTCATCCTAATCCATGACTTGCAGTCAACTTACAATGGAGTAACCGCACTTGCGCTCCCAACCGCAAGGCCAACAATACTCCGTCCAAGAATCATACCCCAAACCTGGCTTGTGGAAGCCTGGACCAAAGCCCCAAGGGCAAATAACGCATCTGCGCCAAGTATAACTTTCCGACGGCCCAGCTTATCTGCCAGCACTCCGGTGAAAGGACTGGCTATTAATGCGAACAGGCTCGTACATGACGTGATCAGGCTTTTGTCGAGTGTTGTCAATGGTCGGTTCGAGAGATCCGTGCCAACTGTCACCAAAGTTGAGGAAATGACTCCTGTGCTGGAAGTTCAAACAACTGTTAGCCGCTATCCGGTAGAACAATGGAGCCGCAACAAGGCGTCTGCCGGAGTATGGAGCATACTCATATCCAAAGAGGAGCCCACTAATTCCTGCTGAAAAGGTCAACGCCCATATGAACCAGCCCCCTGAGTATTCCAGCTCGGAGGCCAGGCCCTCGTTGCCATGGTCTTCATGGTCATGGTCGGGAGTGTAGGCGGGGGCGAGTAAGGGCGCGTTGGAACCCGAGTTGTCTAGTTCATCTGCGTCTGTCATATTCTAAGGCTCTATTTCCAGAGAACTGAAATCAGCTCCTAGATTCTATCAGGGGAATGTCCAATGTTTCAAGTGACGTCTGGGGCTACGATAAGCCGATAAGAAGGCGGAAATCGGGTTCCGGAATGCCGACATCTATGGAATCATAAATGTGTATACAGTGGCATTCGCTCTGCTTTGGCTTCTCTTTTTTTCACCTTCTTTTTTACACATGTTCGAGTGCCTCAAGTTATATGGTTTACCCATGTAGATTGTATAAGAGTGGTAGCGGGAAAGGGCTTATGGCCTATGACTGTACATGCATATATCTCATGCACAGAATTGACAAACCGGTTACACAATTGTCTGTTCTATGTTGGCGTAGCTCGTTGAAGATGGAATTCATATTTTTTTCTTGATACTACACTGTACATGTATCTCCCCTTAGTGCTTAGCCACAACACCAGCAGCATCAGCCTGCTCAGTGATCCTCTTCTTGTAAGCATTGACTGTGCCGTCAAACTTGTGCACAGTACCACCATCGCAGACCCAGAGACTGGTGCAAACATTCTGCAACATGGTCACATCGTGGGAAACCATCACAACACCTCCCTCGAACTTGCGGAGCGCATCTGACAGAGCATCCATACCCTCAATATCCAAGTGGTTAGAAGGTTCGTCAAGAACAAGAATGTGAGGATTGGTCAATGACAGGCAAGCAAAGGCCACACGCGATTTCTGACCTCCAGACAGAAGTCCCATGCGCTGAAGACCAGTTGTACCAGTGATACCAAAGCTATGAGAACATATTAGTGACTGGGATGTGGGCAAAGGGGTTAAGAGTTGACTTACGCGCCCAGGTGTCTCCGGTACTCTTCGTCGGTCTTTCCGGGATAAGTCTTAGTCATGAAGCCTACTGCACTGGTTGTCATGTCCAGAGCGTCGACGTGATGCTGGGCAAAAAATCCAATGCGCAGTCTTGAGTTGGTAGAGATAAGACCGGATGTGGGTTCGAGCTGATTGGTGAGTAGCTTCAGCACCGTAGTCTTACCAGCACCATTAGGTCCGACAATTCCAATACGCGAGTCAAGCTGGACATCCAGATCGACATTCTTGAGAAGAGGTTTGTCCTTGGTGTAACCGAAGCAAACTTCGGACATCTGGACAATAGGGGGTGAGAGCTTCTCGACCTCGGGGAATGCGAAGTGGACGGTGTATTCGCTTTCCGGAGCTTCAAGGACTGGCATACGCTCAAGTTTCTTGATTCTTGACTGGGCTTCGGAAGATTTCGCAGCATTGTATCGGAATTTGTCAATAAACGCTGATAAATCGTTAGTACAGCTCGTATGACAGCACGCGGCGTCACAAACCTTGCAAGTGTGCTCTCTCGGCCATTTGCTTCTCATATTCGCGCTTAGCGGTCTTCCGACGCTCCTCCTTGGTTGCGTAGAAGGATTCTATGAAATGTTAGAAGGTTTCAGATGCCTTGATCTAGTATTACTTACCGAAGTTAGCACCCCTGTAGTAGTCCAGTCTCTCGGAATGTTGGTGAATAATATCCGTAGCGACTTCGTTCAAGAATGCACGATCGTGAGAGACCACAAGGACTGTGCTGGGGTACCCCTGGAGGTAATTCGAAAGGAAAGTAATAGACGGAACGTCCAACATGTTCGACGGTTCTATGAACAGTCAGTAGGCTACTCGTTCAATAGAGGCAGTAAAACATACCGTCCAGCAAGAGCAAATCGGGCTCGCAGAAAAGTGCTCTCGCCAGGGACAGACGCATTCTCCAACCTCCAGAGAAGGTCTTGGTCGGGTACTGCTGGCGTTCTTGGGAGAAACCAAGACCAGCCAAGATACTAGCCGCACGGGACTCGGCCTTGTCCGATTCCATTTCAGAAAGTTTGCTGTAAATATCACTCAAAGTGATATCCAAGCCTTCACGTTGCTCGTCAAGTCTAGCAGCATCCTGGGAGGTGTCTGCCATCGAGGATCTCTCTTCTTCGAGCTCGGCCAATTGTTTCGAGATTTTCTGTGATGTCAATTAGTAAACGTATCGTAATAATGTATTGGGGGTTGACTAACCGCTTGCTCTCCGAGGAGGTGCTTCCGCCACACATCCGCATCCAGGACTGCCTGCAAAGCAGGTGTATCATCACCAGTAATCTATGTAGACAGTTAGTAACAGCAAACGCAAGGAGATTGAATCAGATATACCTCTTGCTCGACGTGAAGAATTGAAACGTGAGTGGGAATGGGGATTTCTCTGCGACTTAAAGCGCGCAAAAGTGTAGATTTACCGATACCGTTCTGGCCAACGAGACCATAACGACGACCGTAGGCGAGTGTGAAGGCAGCATCCGTCAGGATACGCAGGCCACTGATGGAGATATCGATGTTATCCAGCTTGATGTCCTTGCTCTTGGCCTGGGAGTCAGAGCCCAGTTGAAGAGGGTTGACAGCCATGAAGAACTCCTCGTATGACATAGTCTCATCCGGCTGGTTGAGCAAGCGGGAGGACTCGTAGGTAACGTTCTTCATCTGCTTCTTGTCCTGCTTGGCACGAATCTTACGTTCGGCCTTCTCGAGCTTTTTCTTGTCCACCTTGGACTCGACCTTTCTAGCATTGGCTGATTCCAGGTCGACAGTGTTTCCAGTCAATCCCAGGGTCGAGGACATGTTCCGCTGTGCGCCAACATTGATGGCCTGGTCCAGCTTCTTAGCCCTGAAGGGCATTTGTCTCTGCTCGGCATCAACGCCGTCAGCGGAGCTGAGGCCCGTGATGAATTTCGCGACTAAGTTGCCAATCGTCTCGTAGTTTTGCGGGGAGAAATCTCCAGAAGCGGAGACCAGAAGCTCGGTAACGGCTTCGGCAGCTTCTGACAGTGGGGACTGGCCGCTGGTATCTTCGACGTAAAGGTTTGCGGCATGGGTCAGGTAGCCCTATCAAACGGTCAGCTTCATTCACATTTCCCCTCGCGCATGCAAATACATACCACAGCGTAGTCGGAGACGACATGGTCGATACCAGGGATTTGCGCCTGGATTTGAGACTCCATGGTTTCAGGTTCAGGTGAATGTGACTCACTCCGGCGACAACCTGGGACCTCTAGTACAAGTCGAGCGTGGATTTCTTGTTGTGAGGTCCCCATGATAGAGTGGGCTTTTTGGATGTGTGTTATCGATAAGATCACGTGAGGCTCGATCTATAATTTTCATGTATTGATGTCGAGCTTCTCTTTCAGTCTCGAGTTTATTATTTGTTTAGTACTGAGCTAGACGGGCTCTTGTCTGATTTGTAGTACATTTCATATCTAATAGGTGTGTGGTTGACATTATCGGTAAATTGTGACATGAGAAGGCCATATAGGAGGCATGAAAGCATGGAAATAGTAAGAAAAGAACATCAAGCCAGCAAGGCGAAGGAACTAACAGAATGTCAAAGGCATGTCCAACAGCATGACAGGTATGCTACTTCAGAATTGGCATGTCCCAAGGTAGGTGAAGGCACCTAGAACAGTGTTTGACTACTTGGTTAACTTCCCGATGCATTCCACAAATTTAATCGGCGAAATGCATAGAGGTTGAATACCCTTCTGATATTTCTAGTTGTCAATATCTGAGTTGTGGTTAGCGATCATCCTTAGAGGCGTAATGTGAGATATCTGGAATTGTCGACTCCGATATGTGTATTGTGTATTCCTAATCCGCTGTTTGGGTACATTCGTGTGGTGAATCCTGAGACCACTTATCTTGGTATGTAGAAATTACATCTCAGTCCCAGAAGACCGCTTTTTGTGAGGTCAATGGCTTCTGAGTGCTGGCCTCCCGGAGCCGTCACGGTGAATGGGCCAACGGATCGATCTATAAGGACTCATCAATTTCAGAATCGGAACGAACTTGATCATAGTTTAGCTGTTTTCAATAGTGTTCAATTTCCGTAATTAAACCACAATGACCTCCTTTCAACAAAGTCCAAGTCAACAAAACAAGGTGGTGGACAGGCAGTCAAGTTTTGAATCACATGTGGGTGTTTGTGCTATACACATCTGCAGGAAACAGGGGCCAAATCACCCGATGTCACACGACTTAAGATTAGTCCCTGGAGATGAAGTCCTTGGGGGTGACAAATGACATATTATCGCGTACCATTTGGTTGCAGCTTCTCCGTCTCCCTGATCATTGATTGTAGAGCAATGTCAGGTTTTGAGACGGTGAGCATGATCTTACCTTGAAAAGGTGAGGTGGAGCATGCAGAGTTGACCGCTCTCCACCCTTACTCAAAGACAATCCAGCTGCAGCCGAAGACACTATATCAAAACGGGCGGTCGCAAAATGAAAAGGTGTGGCCAGCCACTCCAGTATACTCATCAACTGGACCCTAGTGAAACCCTCACCTAGGTTATAGGCACTTGTTGAAGCGTGCAGAGTGTTTCATAAGTACATGTAGTTTCATGTCGGAGCGATTGCATGTGATTAGCATAATGAAGTGAACCGAGACCGAGATCGAACGAGTGCAAAGGTAGTGAAATCCAGCACGCGAACCTGTCAGGGTGACGTTTAACCGCCTCGACCGCCAGATATGCAGGATACTCATCACAAAACTCTTGCAGGCATGGGAGCACGAGTTGCCTGCATCCTAAAGGCCGAGAGTTGAGCCCCAAAGCCAAAGTGACGATCTTTGTTTGGGTCTATGTTTTGGGAATAGCCCGCCAAGCGGTGACAAGCCAATCATTCGCCCAGAGCATTCAAAGATCATCAAGTGGTGCAGGGAATGTGCTGACCTGCATGTATGACACAGTTGAGACCGGTATAACGGATATTGGCAGATTTATTTTCGAGCCGCTTGGGGTGTAACCCTGAGCAAGAATAGATCTGAGCATTGAAATCCATAGGTCCACAGGTAATTTGGCATTTGCACTCCAGAGAGATTCGACTTGGCCGAAGCTAAGCCAAGGAGACCAATCCCTGTAGCGCCAAATTGACCTTCCCGAATGATAGTATATGTCGATCTGTCAAGCGAGCGACAAGGTTTGACTCAGGGCTTCGGAGTGTCGGCCTGATCGCTGGAAAGATTGAGCTCGGAAAAAGAGAAAAAAATTAAACAGCTTTTGAAAGATGAAACACGATGGCTTCCCCCACTCTCAGCTCTCATTTGACACGCCATGACAGTTGAGTGCCACGTACCCGCAACAGAAGCGGCACAGATCCGGCAGTAAGAACCGATTCAGGCCGGTGGGCGACCCACGAGTTTTCCATTTTCATTTGCAAAGTGGAGTGCATGACGATATCAAAACAATCAAACCTGGAGCTGATTCTCCTGGCTATTTCTGGCTTAATTTGCGAAGCGAACAGGTCAATTTGGATCGAAGATCAGTTCCGGGGCGCAGGTCATGAACATAAAGCACTTTGCATCACCATGGACAACGTTGAAGTCATATAAGCTTGCTGAGAGAGACCTTGCATCTCGCTCATCTCGCTCGTCTCGCTTCTTTTGGACAGATCAACTGTATCTTCCAGAAGCCAGCGATGTGGACCGAGAAAACTTTGTTCAATGACCCCTGGACAGATAGTTTGAGGGCGACCTCCCACATAAAGTATAGCTCCTGAACATCCTTTGAACGTGTGAGCCATGGTTCTACCTCGGACAACAGTTCATGGCAGGAAACCAGTGGACTCCGATCGGCCCCGGGGCCCTTGCGATCTAAGCTAGTCAGGCTAGGGGGCCGAAGAAGCGATCCTAGCCAGCCGAAACCAGATGTGTGGGGAATTCTGGATCGCATGGCTTTTTCGGGTCTCCATTTCCCAGCTCGCTGAGCCACTTGCGGCCCTTCACGGACTTCGCCGTTTCCTCGAAAAAGTCTGGACTATGACGCCAATGCGATGTGAGCCGCAAGGGATGACAGGCCAGCATCCTAATCTTTGCATTTGCAATAACACCCGCATGGTGGGCTAGTGCTGTTTGGTGTGCTTTTGCCGGGGTATTTCCATGCAGATTGGCGTACATGTAGCCGTACTCTAGACGTAGACGTAGACGGAGTAGGTCAATTGAAGTCTAATCAGGGGAACTGCACTCTGCACTGTGCACTCGTCTGTTTCAAAAAGAATTAAGAACAAGAATCAGGAATCAGGATATATGGATTGCTCAAGGGTTCAAGGAGGGGGAATTTATTGATCTCTCCTAGCGTGAGTCCAGGGCGGGAGCTGATAATCCCCGAGTTTTGTTGTTGTTTTCCGTCCCATGGTTCTTCCCCCCCATCATATCGCTCCTTTCTTCTTTCTCTCTCCTTTGAAGGAGCTGGGCTTAACGTCTTTTTTGCCTGAGTCGATGGTCGTTTTTGTTTTTCATTTGTTCCGCTCATCGCGGCCTAGTTGAGGGATTTCCTGCCCACCGCATTAACACTCCTCCCTATCTCGCTCGTTAGCTTCCCCTCATATGCGCATTCTACTGGAATGTCATTCACAAAGTTGTTCGACCTGGAGCTGAGTGTCGGGGTGCTTGTCACTCTCTTCCGCGCCCTCTGAAGATGGATTACGTATCAACGGTAAGCCAGGGTTGATCAATCTGGGATTACTGGTCACCACTCCGGTCCTTGCAAGACATGTTTACTGACAATGACCCTTAGTTATGTGCGTTAAGCACTGTCGGTATAGCACCCACCGGCCTCGCGCTCGGGCGCGCAGAACGAAGTCAGAAGCCGAGTCTCTTCCGGCGCAAGACCCTCTCTCAAGATCACCCTCTCCTCCCTCAACATACCGCAAAGACGTCCATTGATGCTCGCCCGAAGTCAGCTTTACCACCACGGACAAGTGTGGCAGCCGAGTGGCGAGCTGAAAAGGAACAAAGTTTGGCAGATAGCGCGTATGGGAACCAATATCAACCAGATCTTCGGCGGGCATCCTTGTCCTTCAGCGCTGTAAGACGCCGTCGTCGGGGTCAAACTTTCACAGCGCCTCCACTGCAAATTCCGGAACATGAATCAACAGACTCGCAAACTGGCCACGTCCGGCGACCATCCACTGGTTGGCTGCGGCGCTTGTCAATGGCCTCGTTCCAGACCGAGAGCCCGACCGCGAGTAGTCCAGTCACTCCGTCGTTCAATGGATCAGCAAGCCCAACCTTTCCTCGCCCGCCGAATCAGCGAAGGGCCCCGAACAAGTTGGTGAAGCGTCCGGCATCGCAGCACACCAACACACATCCTCTTGGATCGCAGACCATCTCCGGGTCTTCGCCATCTGCGCTGCGCAGGCCAACCACGAGTCACCAGAGATCAGAGTCGATGCGCCTTCCTTTGGCTTCAGATTTCGAAGATTGCTTCCCCAAAAATCTTCCTGTTGAATCACCAGCGATCGAGGAATTCGAGCTTGATAAGAAGAAACAATGGGCGTCATTTTTCCTTCCCGGGGCTGGTAAGTTGGCTGAGAGACTCTCGCGCAGGTTCTCAACATCAATCGCCCCGAAAGTTCAAAGTGTTCGCCAGATTACGTCTGATCAGAGCGCTCTTCCGGTATTGATTCTCGCCTCTGATGTCGCCGTCAACACTGCTTTGCCCCGAGAGGATCAGTCATTGCCTAATACCCCGGTCGAATTCCGCAACCCATTTCAGGCAGCCACCCCGGAGCCTGCTTCTGAACTCGTTCTCGAGCCAGCGGAGAACCCCAATCACAGGCACTCGTACTCTTTTAATGATGCTGAACAAAAGCAGACCGTCATTGCCAACACCGTCACCGGCTCTGGTGTTCCGATTCTGGGACGACCTAGGGGTGGTTCTCTGAAGCGTGTGAAAGGGCGCACGTTTTCCATCCCTCAGTCAGAACTGTCCACGTCGGAGAGGATTGTCGCCGTCCCAACCCCGGACCCCGAGCAACGGCGTAATATCACCGATCCGAATGTCTTCCGTCGCCCACATCCTGTGTCGCAACCGGGAGGGGCTCTTTCAGCTTTGGAAAGACGTTCTCAAGTTGTGCCACGATCAGTCTCTCAAGACTACAACATTGGCTTGGGATCTCGGTCCGGCTTGGATCCAGTAACCTCGGATGCAGTGGCACTTTCTGCCTGGCAGCGGGCGTCTCGTCCCAATGGCCAGCCTTACTCTCTCCGCCGTCGTCCCAAGGGTTTCTCAGTTTCAGGGTCAGACCCATCTTCCACCATAATCGGTTCCGATGATACCAGGGTGTTTACATCATGCGATGATTATGAAACCGACATCATGAGTGATTATTGGGACTCAGTCCGCACACGCGAAACCACAAGCAGCGGACTGAAGGGCCTTCGGATTGAGACGATGTTTGACAAAGCAGGCACGAGTTTGGCCAATGAAGAAGTCACGACCTTAGAGACTCTTCTGCCGCGGGGTACTTTCGCCGCGAGGTCTTTGGAACGGGATCCTCAACTTTTTACTGATTCATTTCTGGCCTCTCCCCCTTTGACTCAGGTCCCAATGGTTGATAACTCATCAGTTTTGGCCGATGCGCCTGATGAAGACGCCCTCAGCATGATTGGGGCATTGCCTGGCGAATCAGACAGTGCGGTTCAGTCGCCTTTGTCGCTTGCGTTGTCCAAATTCGCCGAACATCCCAACTCTGGCCTGAGTTCGGCCAAGGGCTTCGGATCGATGGTAGACGGGTCCAACTCAGATGTGAACAAAAAGACAAACATCTTCGACTGGTCTGAACAGTCACGTCCTGATCGTGAAACGTCGGACTCCGAAACGCGTCCCAGAACCATGCATGGAAAGCAAGCAAATGTTGTTGATAGAAGCAGTCGTGCTGTTTGCCGGAAAGCACCTTCCACCGTCCACCTTCGCAGTCAGAGTGTCCCCGTTGTGAGTGACATTCCCACCAGTGACTCACGTCAAACATCTGGGAAGTTCGGCACCTGGGGCTTGGGCAGTAAAGGCGTCAGCGAAGACTGGGATAGCGATTTCGATTTCGACGAGTCCGAGGATACACCCACGGCCGAAAGCACTCAGGTCTCTGAACCAGAGACTATTCGTCAAAGCATGACTGTTCCGAAAGCCATTCTGGAACGCCAAGCCAGTCTTCGCGGTCAATTCGGACAGGTTCAGGAATTGACGCTGCTCGTGGAAGAATTGAAGCGTCTCCGGCACCAGGCAAATGTCTTGGATCTTGTCAGCGGACCTTCCAGTGAATTGTGGAAAGAAGCAGAGGGGATTGTGAACCTTGCTACTATTGATGACGAAGAAGAGCATCGCTCACCTCCAGGATCTCCTTCATCTCTCACATTCAGCTTCGACGAATCAGAAGATGAAGGTCTCCATGCATCTTCCAAGCGTAACAGCGAAGTCTCATGGAACGATGTACCGCAGCGTGAGCGTGAAACTCACTCGCCCCTCACTCAGCTTGCCAAAGACTCGCCTAAGTCCCAATCTGTGCTTGATATCCTGCAGCCTGGTGATAAACCTCTAGAGATTGCACCGCGTGCTCAGAAACTGCCATTCGACACGTCTTCGTTGAAAGATTTGGTGGTTCGAGCTGGTGTTGTGACGCGTGCGCTGAAGGAAGTCATTCGCAAAGCAGAGGGGGTTGCAACCAGCCCCCAGAACGTCTTTCCACAAGACCCCCCGTTTCGGCGCATCTTCGACAAACCATCTCACGACGACCTTGCCAGCTTTGAAGCTGCTCTCGCCGACTTGTAATAATTTCTCTGATTTCTTTTTTCTCTCCTGTCACCATATCTCTCCACGATTCCCCAGCATCAGATGAAACGACCCGAAGATCGTTTGCATGAGCATCTCCTTTATTCTTTTAATGTCTCGGTGGTTCACCGTTGGTCTCGCCCCTTTGCATACCCTCGGAGAACCTCATCTCTGTCACACGATGTGATCAAAAGCGCCATGGCTTTCCTTTTCCTTTCTCATGTACAACTCTCACCCCAATGTACATTGCCACCACCTTTTCCTTGCTATTTCAATTACGCTGTGTGTAGCCCACACATCCGAGTCTGTCCCAAACCCCCGGGCTCACGACCTTTCCAGCTTTTGTTCAGTCTTCTCATTCCTTTCAATCATGTCTCATATTTGCGCAGCTCATATCTTTTAATTGTGCTGTATTAATCACGGAGGATTCCTTGTTAAGGCGGACCTGCACTGATTATGTTTTCACACGAAGTCCCATACTAGATGAAAAGCCCTGAACCCAACCATGTGATGATTAAACTAACTGGGGAGAGAAGTCTTCTTATGCATTTGCACTATAGTCTAATGCAAAAATGAAAGAAAAAAAGTTTAATATCCAATTTTTCTCGCAAGGTAGCCTTGGAAGTAACCGGACTGTCTCTCGTCTACGCACAGTGAAGGTGAACGGATAGTACAAAACACGCTTTGGTTAGAGATACAGTATATGAAGGTCAAGCAGATGCTCAACAGTCTCAATATCTTGCCTAATCAATTGAAAAAGTTATATACATCAACGCCGCCCATGTACTGAGAGAAGTGTACTCTATCAGAATTATGCCTTTGTTTCGCCGTTTTTCACTTGGTTGCTTCGAGAAAACTGTAAGCTATATCAATTCCCAAGCTTACGCTATCTCTTCATTGGTATGAGCCTTCGTTGTCATCACATAGTCTGTGTAGCGAACTTGCTCTTCGCTCGAATCAGGTCACCATAGAGATATAATGATATAGGAATTGGAATCAGAGCCGCTGCTACACAGCCGAGCAGGGTCCCAGCCCAATTTACACCTGGTCCGTTGAACTGTCCTTGATATCAATGATGTTTCACTCCGGTCTCTGGTCTCGCTACTCACCATGTAGGTTACGAAGAGAGGAAAGCCTGCACCAGCTGAAGACCGCAAGATGCTATTTGCAGCTAATGCAGAGGCAGCACTAGTAGAAGCAACTTTGAGTCGTGATCTAACATGTTAATAAGTATACTTAAGGAGAGAATACTCACAATAGAAGGTATGCATCCACAATATAGTTCAACGCTTGGAGGAAGATACTGAACAGCCAAGATCCGGTCAAGACCCTATATGCGGTCGGTACAATCCAGTGAATTTAGCCGTGAATCTAGACCATCCAAACCAAGACCATCCCCCTAAAAAAGCCACAATCTCTAGTATTGCAGGTGGTAGACGCCACTTAGGGATCGGGATACCGTAGTTGCCGTCCAATTTTCGATTATACAAGGGCTGTACGCAGGGAATGCACAACCCGCCAATGAACTCTCCAATGATAAGACCCAGGTATGGAAGACCACTGACACCCTTTTCAAAGCCGTGGATTCTTTGGAATACGATGGGGTACGCGGTTAGGAAGAGGTATAGCAGGCCATAGAGAAATTCTATGTAGATGTTAAGACATAGCACTATTGGCTCTGTGAAAAGGAACATTAGGGCTCGACTGAAATTCTTTCGAAGAAGCTCGCCTAGAGCGATCTCGATTTTCTCTTGTATAACATAAATGCCCCAGTTTTTCGTGCGTTGGCGGAGCTCGTTAGCTTTTTCGATCAGGAAAACAGGTGGAAATGTCTCGTTCATAAAGAGGGCATCGATGATTAGAGCTGCCGCGCCTATTATGCCTGTGAGGTACACTGTCTATCGCGAGCCTAAATAGCTTTGTACGATGAAACCACCGATAGTCGATGCTAGCAATGGGCCGATGAAGATAGTCGTGGCGAAGAGTTGTGATAGCAAGCCCTCTAGTGCAGTTGTTAAAAATATCGGAGAAAACAGCTGCCACGACGGCAATTGGACTGCTCCGAGGAACCCTTAAAGAATCGGCATAATATGATGGTTTGGAGGTCTTTCGCTGTTGTAACGGCGAATTGAAACAATACGAAGCCGAACACGGCAATCAAAACTGCGAGACGTCGACCCTGAAGCTCGGAGAACGGTGCCCAAAAGATTGGACCTGTCGCAAATCTAAGCACATACAAAGACAGTCCCAACGTGCCAACTTCGGTGGAAACATTGAACTCTTGTGATATCACCGAGATGCCGGTGGAATATATGCTGCTGGTGAATGTGGCGTTGAATGTTGTAAATGCGGGCATCACAGCCGTGAGGACCCTTGATAAGTTGTGTTAGTGTTTATGATTTATGGGTGAGAACAACCCTAATTACTTACTTCTTCTTTGTCGGCCAATTTTAGGATACAAGGGATCATCGGGGCCCTGCAAATTCGACTAGATAATCTTCCTTCTCCGGAAGATTCGGAAGATATGACTTGCTAACTCCAAATTCCGGTAGTGGTTTCAGTGACACTCGGTTGAGCCCAGCGCCTACTGTTGCATTGTGTTGGCTGCGCTGGGTTGCAATTCGACTAAGGGCCGTTGGGTGTCGTTCTAGGCCGACGTTGCGCTAGGTTTGTGCCGTCTAGACTCGGGTCATCTAGTCAATTACATCGTGAGATGATGAATTTGATGATCCAACTGATGAGATTGAGGAGGGATGGTAATCACGTATATCTCACCTTGATAGTTCCAATGTCCTCACATGGAAGCTGAACTATACGTGTTTGATAGTATAATATATTGATTAAAAAGGAAACAACGACGAGAGAGGTTGTGGGGTTTCAATGGAAAGACGTTCTATCATCGTACTCGCCAGGATATATATACACTATTGGTTTGAAGACAAACATGGCTGTATCCGTCAAGACAGATCCTCAAATGCCATTGGGAAAAGTTGATATATAACGAAGCTCACCAGGCATAGAATGGAATCTAGGCATTCTGATTTATTAGCTATTCACTAGTCACTAGTCCGGGCACCACAGGCACTCGGCACGCTAACTAACTTAACTAACTATTAAAAACGCTCTTATCTAATTACGTATCAAACAAAAGTACCTTTGCCAAGAAATACTGCTTCCCACAGAATAATAGTTGGAGAGCTTGAGCTCTGTGAAAACAAAAATCACCAATGTAACAGCTATATAGACTTGGAGGGGAATGTCTCACGTGGGGATGCGACAGGTACAGCACATTAACATTAACTCATCCGTTATCTGCGTTTCATTGGGGAGGGGGCAGGGCTTGGGAATGACGGGGCCACGCCGGCGTCTCGAATTAAAGGAGTCGACATATAGAGGATCCCTATAAGGACCATTATTATACCCGAATACGAAACAACTATAACGTTAACTATAACTACCATGACTATAAGCATAGCCAAGCAGAATCAGAAGGAAGGCTTGGTGGAGTATTGAAAAGACGCCCTTGGGCCCTTACAGTGAGGATACATTAGTGTATACTTCGTAATTTCGACGGTTCAGGGGCAGCCGCTCGGTGATTGGTGCACGCCGCTGAGGCCCCCTATCTACTCCGTACTGAGGTCTCAGAATTCACCTTGCTTGCTGCAGAGAGGAAAGGGAAGATCAGACAATAAACAAAAGAAAATAAGGAGGCTGTACAGAGTACTCCATACGGAGTACTAAATTAAGAAGTACATATGTATTACAGTAAGAGCTCAGGGGGATGCGGAGAACGGTAAGTTAATTTGACTGTGTGCTTAGGGCCCCATATTCTAGAACTCATCTCACTTTCTCCTCTTTTCTTCTTCCCATCTCTCGTTTCCACACTTTTGGCTGCTGGCCGCCGCTCTTTTTGAGGACTTCGTCCCCCGTTCACTCTTTATTGTCTCTAGTTTGGCTAGTGTGACCCTTCCACTCCTTTTTATACTGTGTTGAACTTCAATGACGAGCACCATCTGATCGGCTTTCGCCATTACCGTGTTGATCACGCCCTCCAGACCGGCTTCGACTATGTCTCATGCTCACCATGCCGGCTTGGTGATGAGGCATGCCCCCCCGGTTCGCCGGGATGTCGTCCCTTCGCATCGCCTGCCATTTTTGGTCCCTAGTACCACACCTTTAGCTACAATGCCGTCTCTCGTGGCGCGAGCTCCGGAGTCATCAGCATCTGGCTCGACAAATGGAGAAAAGCCTACCAGTAACATGACCACGACCGTCTTGCCAGTCGTGCTTGGTGCAGGTCTTCCCATCCTGTGTGCCATTATCGTTCTGATTGTGCTTCACCGAAGACATGTCAAGAAACTTCTACGGGAAGATGCAAACGATAAACATAAATCACTCGATTTTGGAATGGATACAGTTGGACCGGCTACACAGAGGAGAGGCCCTGGAGCCATGCCCCCGATGTCAGAACCCAACCACACCAAGGGCCTGTCTCTCGACGTGGGCCCTTATCTGATCCCCCCGGGCATGAAGAGCTCCCGGGACTCTCTACACTCCATTTCTCGTTCAATAGATGATGACAAGTACCGCCCCGCCACATTTCTGGGGGACAATGGCTCCGTTCGGTCCTTCCCTAGGGGACATCGAGATGATGCCTCTAGCTTTGGCGGTTCGCCAACCCGATATGGAGCTGCTGATGAGCCTGACTCGGGTCTTCTTAGGAATGCCCAGAGGATGTCTCGCTCTTCCCCGCCGATTTATAGCTCCCCCACTGAATCTCACAGAGGTAGCCCCGTGAATCAGCGCAAGGATTTCCTTGGCCCGGTTCCCGGTGTGACTCCTCCGGCCCCTGTTGCACAGGAACACAGTATGGCCCCTGGCAGTGCCACAACTGACCGGGATTTCACATCCCCGGAGCTGCCTCACCTGGATTCTACCCCCAGTCTCCATTTCGGATTCGAGACCGAGACAAACCATGCTAGTGCGCCTGAAGAACGCCTGAACTTCCCGCTACCTGAGCCTTCGCAATCACCACACGACTCTGGGCACGGCCAGACGGCATCGCAGGTTCCTCGTATTTCCCTGCCGGCCAGCGATGTTACCAGTAGTGACTATGGTGATGATCGCAAGTCGGAGCTCATGATTCCTCCGGTCAACGTCCATGCCACGGATGGACATCATGATGTCCCAAGCTATGAAAACAAGCACCCCGAACTCCCAGAGGAGCCTCAAAACCTGGACAAGCCATATGATGAACACCGCGACACCCGCCGGATGACTCTCGGATTGCGTCCGCTGCCCCCAGAAGACCCTGCAGACAACCCTGAGCAGCGTGCCAATCGGATTCGCTCCTTCTACAAGGAGTACTTCGATGAGAGCAAGACTGGCCGGGAGACCACATATTACGAAGACTTCGGGCCTGAGTTCTATGAGGACGGTGGTTTCGTCTATGACCCAGTCACTGGCGACTACTTTGATGCCGCACCGGCTCCCTTCGCTGAGCCGGTGACCCGTCGTGCTATGACGCCGCCGCCGCGTGCTCCTCCACGCTTCCAGGGAGCCGCTCGTCATCAGGCCACGAACTCTGCAGGCTTCAATGGCTTCTCCCCTGGCCCTCGTTCCTTCTCGTCTGCATCCGGGCCCCGGGCTTTCTCCTCTGCCTCCGGGCGTATGCCTGGTCCCAGAGCTCCCCGGAAGCCGATGCCCCCTCCGGCACCGCTTCAGGTTCTTCCCACTCCTCACATGCTAAGAGATGAATCTCTCATGTCCGCTGTGGACTTTGCTCCCGCAAACGGCTTCCGCGACCAGCGTGCGGGTCGCCCCGAGACGCCTACCGGTGGCATGCGACCTTATAGCCCAGCTGTGCGTGCGCACACCCCGCTGGCCTCTGCCTTTGATGAGCTCGCCGTCATGCCCAGCCCACACGCTCTGCGGAAGTCTGGAACGTACACGAACCTGGACTTCGTACCCCCGCCACGTTTCAAGAACGAGGGCGCCGGCAGCGATGCTGGTAGTATCCGCAGTAACCGGACTGGTGTTTCAAATACCCACATGAACAATATCCGCATGGGCAACTACCGCATCAGTCGCTTGCCGGCGGACACGGTCGGCACCAAGGATGATTTGATGACCAGCCTGCGTCCGCACTGGGATTTGAATAACAATAAATAATAGACGGGTTCAGTCTTTTGTCATGACTCTGTTTTTGGACCTTGTATAGGAGCATGTGATGATCTTCTTTTGTGTCTTTTTTTTTTCCCTTTCATCTGGGGTTGCCTCTGGGATCTTATCTTTTCTTTTACTGGAGATCTACCGGCGTAAATAGATTGCAATTTCACTTCTTCTGCCCGGTGGGCTGTACATATGTTAGATCTTAAGATTAAAAGTGTCTAGACTCGGGGGAATACGGTATTGTACTGAAAAACCGGATAGGAGTTCACCATTTCCTTCCTTTTAATAGACCGTTGAAGCGAAGAGTGGGCCAAGACAATGCGCATCATCAAGCCGAAGCGATGCGTCTTTCTTACTGGAGCAACGGATGGGGCAATGTCCCCGGGCCCAGTCTCTCCCTTGCTCACCCGCGGTAGGCCTGAGTCTCTCTGTATTCTCGGGAAATCTCAGATGGAAAATAGCCATGAGCCCTATGATCGCAGGGGGGATATGACAGTTACATCAAGGGATTACCATAAGCAGGTGTTTGTTGACTGTTGACTACTGCATGCGGGATGCAACTGCAACTGCAACTGCAACTCTCTCAAAGTGAGTGCAAGTAATTAAAACGAAGATCTATTCTTACCGCTAAGAATGTGCATACGCTGCAATCGTACGGGTTCTCCACTTCCCACTTCTTCCTCCTCTCCCACACACATCTCCCTCTCTCCCATGGCTACAGCCTGAGATTGTGAGTCCTACTTCTTCTTCTCCTCTTCTTTTCTTTTCTTTTCTCTGCTTTTGCCTTTGCTTTTTCTTCTTTTCGCTCCGATTGCGATATCGCCGATATTCCTTCCCCCCCACACACCCCCTGAGCCTCCGACCATAACCCAGTCCTTCTTTAAACGCGTTCATTATAGTCTTTCGTTATTCAGTCCGGTTTCAATTTTGACTGTTGAATCCACTCAGCATACGATTCTCGATCTCATCCATCCCAATCTCGAAACTCGCCAAACGGTGTTCTGTTTCAGGATCGCATTGATCCCGACCACTAATCTCACTGCGTCGGATCATTGTATCTTCTAATCGGCAATACGAATCAAGATGTCTTCCAAGCCAGGCGCTGCTGCCAATACCAGTGCGGCAGCTGCTGACACTGCGGCAACAACTGCGGCTACCAATGAGGCGGCAGCAACCACGGCCACTGCTGCGGCCGGAACAACCTCGACCTCGGCTAGCCAGCCTACAACCACCTCCAGCGAAGTGACTACTAGCAGCACCAGCAGCAGTACCAGCAGCACTACAAGCTCGAGTAGTACCAGTAAGACCTCCACGACCGAGCCTACTACAACACCTTCGCCTACAACCACGACCTCCTCATCATCAACCTCTTCTTCCACAACCAAGCCGACCACCACCGAGGCCCCTTCGACCACCGTACTTCCATCGACCAGTAGCGGTTCATCCGGAACGACCGTTGTTTACGTTACGTCTACCGCGCCGAGTGAAAACACTGGTGCCACGTCCATCACATCTTCCAGCGCGACCGACTCTGCCGCTCTCGCAACCTCTACTGGAGCAGCAAGCTCCGGCGGTCTTTCTCCCAGTGGAACAATTGCCGTGGCAGTCGTTGTGCCAGTAGTTTCGGTGGCATTGATCGTCTTGGCAGCCATCTTCTTCTGGCGCAAGCGCAAGGCGAACAAGGCGAACGAGGAGGAGCGTCGCAAGGAGGTAGAGGAGTACGGCTTCAACCCCAACAACGACCCAACTCTCCCCGGAATGGCAGGCGTAGTGGCACCCAAGGACGACACTTCCTCTGGCTACCGTGGCTGGGGAACTACGTCTGCCGGACGCAAGGCCTCCACCAACCTCTCCAGCGGCATGGGCGGTCTTGCCATGTCCGAAGGAAGCGGCCCCGGCTACCACCATGGCGCAACTCCCAGCGAAGGCACTGTGCAATACTCGGATGGAGTTCGACCGGACTCTGGCGAAATTGAACCCATTGGTGTGCTTGGTGCCGCGCCTGTAGCCGCCAACAACCGCACTGGCGACATCCACCGCGGCCCCTCCAACGCATCCTCTGCCTACTCAGCTGCCAACCACTCCGAGGCTTCGGAAGAAAGCCACATGTCTGCAGCACACCCCTCGGGTGGCTACTACGGTGAAAACCCGTACTACGGCGACATCAACACCCACGGTGCCTACGGTGACGAGTCCTATCAGCCCGTCATTCGCGATGTCCAGGCACGCCGCAACACACGCATCGAAAACCCCGGGGTCTACCCACGACAAGGGAATGCCGGTATTGCCCAGAACTTCTAAGCCAGAATTTTTTCTTTAATCTCATCCAAAAGCTCGGCATTCTCTTTCCTTCTTGCACAATACTACGCTCCTTGCCCTCACCACCGCTGACTACATTCATTTCTTTCGGGTCTCTCATGTTCCAATTCCCGGCGCGATGGACCTTCACTTCGTCATGTCTCTATTTCTCCCATAACTTTTTTTTCCCTATCTCTATCATAATCGGCCCGTGTTGGTTTTGATTTTCGTTCGGTCATCTGTTTGATATATCCCGCGCATCTGGTCCCAGCTGCATCGCTTGCTCTTTTACTCTTTACTGTCACATTCGTCTTATGTTCGTCTTTTTTGTTTGGGAATTTTAGGGAGCTGCATTTTGTACATTTCCTGCTGACCGTGGCGGCTTCCATGCACTGGACATACTCGAGATTTGCAATGATACCTCGCGCGTCTAGAGTGGATTTACCCATCTTTTTCAGGCTTGTATTTGTTAGGAATGAGAGAGGTTTACCTCGGACTTGATTCTAGACTAACAGTCAGTAATATGTGGCTAGAATAAGTGGCTGAGATAGAATGCCCTAGAAAAGTAATATAAACCCTGCATATACTTAGTGCCCAGGTGGTTGACGGGTGATGCTCGGAAGTGCCAGTCAGCAGGAAACGTGCGTCCACCGTTCGCGGTGATTGGCAGCTGCATTCGAGCTCCCCACCTCGGCTTAACCTCCATCTTTTTCCCTTTCCCTCTAGATATGGCAAGTCTATAGGTACCTGGTACTTGGTGCCCTCTCTGCCCCGCCATCGTTTCTTGAATCTTTTCTCTAATCCTTGATACGCATTGCCTCACTGCTTCACTTCGTCGCCCTGTCCGGAGCAACGTCACACATCTTATCTCTCTGGGTGCTACTCCGCCTCTAGCCTCCGTCTCTTGTCCCACTCTCTGTCTCCCCCACCGAACTCCGGCCCTCTCTTAGCTCGACACGAGGCGCTGGTTTCTCTTAGACCGGGTCTTGGACGCTTCCCTCCTGTCCTGCCACTCCCTTCTCCTTCCATTGACACACACCCCGCGCTCGACATCGCACAGCAAAGTTCACATCCCACCAGCTCTCGGCTTCGTCTTGCTGAGTACAGCAACCTCAATCTCCAAAGCTCGGGAGAGCTGAAGCTCTCTCCGAGATCGTGCAGTCATGTAAGTCTGCAGTACTGTGCCGGCGCGGTCTATCCCGAGCGGTTACTGATATTGGTTTCATCGGGTAGGAAGTTCGGCAAACAGATTCAGCGCAGGCAGCTAGATCTCCCCGAATATGCCGCCAGCTTCGTTAACTACAAGGCGCTGAAGAAGGTCGGTCGTGGTTCGCTCCGCTGGGAATCCCGCGCATGGCTAATTGATTCCGCTCCAGCTTATCAAGCAACTCAGCGCCACTCCTACTATCCCCGCGCAAAGAACCGCAGAGGAGATTGCGAGGGAAGATGACCCTCAGTTCGCTCTGCGCGCAAACAAGGAGGTCTTCTTCTTCCGTTTGGTAAGTTCGAGACGTCTTTTGCAGATGAGTCAATTCACTGACCTCGAGGTGTAGGAACGAGAGATTGAGAAAGTCAATACATTTTACCTTCAGAAAGAATCAGAGGTATGGTTATTCCTTTGATATGGATAATGTTATCCGGGCTAATGAGTTCTTAGTTCTCGCTTCGTCTACGGACACTAGTTGACAAGAAACGAGTGATCCAGTCCCGAACCTCCTCGAATTCCAAAGCGCCGTCCAATTTCGTTTCTCTGTTTGAGGGTTTCCAGCAATTCGATGGCGATCTCAACAAGCTGCAGCAATTCGTTGAGATCAACGAGACTGCCATGTCCAAGATCCTGAAGAAATGGGACAAAACATCCAAGTCTCGCATGAAAGAGCTGTATCTACATCGGGCTGTGGAAGTGCAACCATGTTTCAACCGGGATATCCTCCGAGATCTTGCGGACCGTGCCACAACCGCCCGATTGGAGTTGGAGGCCTGGGCCGAGGGCGAGAACATCCAATATGATGCCTCGCGTCCTGTGGACCGCACCGCATCCCTGGGAACTGAGGAGGATGAGTTGGATATTCAGATGCTGCAGTCAGCCTCCACGGGCAATATGCAGACTCTGCGTGAATGGCTGGCCAGGTTACAGTCCTTGCCAGACGCCCGTGAACGTGCAACTCGCACCTTCTTGACCGCCATCAACGGGTTCCCAGATGAGGTTCTTGCTCTCCTATTAGAAAGCAATCTGGTTGACATCCACGCGGAGGATGATATCAATGAGCGTAACTGCCTCCACGAAGCCGCCATTTCTGGCCGAGACTTTGTTTTCAAGGCTGGCCTCAAGGCATCTGTCGATTTCTCTCTGTCCGATGTCTATGGTCGGATTCCTCTCCACTATGCTTGTTTGCATGGCCGCGTTAGTATGGTCCGAGATCTGCTAGCGGCAGGTCCCCAGACCGTTGACATTATGGATCATGACAACTTCACCCCTCTGATTCACAGCATTGTCAAGGGCCAATTGGCATGCGCCGAGCAGGTCCTGTACAGTAATGCCAGAATCAACCCAAATTCGGACACCGATCATATCCCCTTGAACCTGGCTTGTCAACATGGCTCACTTCCTATTGTGAAGATGCTGCTCGAGCGAAATGCAAAGTTGCTACCGGACGCCGAAGGTCTTTACCCGCAGCACATGGTTGCACGTGCTTCACAATCTCCACAGCTCTTATTGCTGCTCAAACAGCACGGCGCTGATCTCGATCAAAAGGACAAGCTTTATCAGTGGACTCCGTTGTTCCACGCAGCCAGCGAAGGCTGTGTTCCCTGTCTACGCACACTTCTTGAATCAGGTGTTGATTCACAGGTTGCAGATGAAAAGGGCCTTTCAGCAATGTACTACGCTGCCTGGGAAGGGCATTTGGAGTGCATGCTTCTTCTCTGGGCTCAGCCGACTGGGCAAAAACCCTCACAGCGACCGATCGACATTCTCAATGGCGTGCGGCTGCAAGAACCTGGCCCGATGGGTGAGCCAATGTCCATGGACGCAGGCGCATCGGAGATGGAGATGGTCGACGGCATCCCAGATCTTGAGTTACCTCCACCCATCATTCCTCTGCGTCGCTATGGCCACAACTTCCTTGACAAAAAGGTGTTCGTCCAGCTTACATTTGATCAAGCGAACGTTGGGTCCGTCGTCTTTGATCAGGCGGGACGCTATCCTGCCGCTCGGATGACTATCTCTTCCAAGTTGTCCGATCTTATCCCTCGCACAATCATGCTACCTATCCAGGACGACTCGCGCACGATATCGTTCCACGTGGACAACCTGGACACATTTGCCGTTGACTTTGAGATCTTCCCTACTTTCGGTTCCAAGGTGATTGCCAAGAGCGTGGCTCTGCCAGATATCTTCCGAGCCGAATCGTCAAGCACTGGCACCGGTTGCTTGCCGCTGTTCGACCCCCGACTCCGTGCAATTGGTCAGCTGCGCTTCAACTTCCAGGTCATCAAGCCGTATCACGGTGACCCCTTAGAGATTACCCACTTTGCCACATACTGGAAGGCTACTGGGGCGATTGACTCGGACCACAATGGACTGGTCACTGGTTCCAGTTTGTCGGGAGATTACATGCAGCTATTTGTGCAATTGACTCGAGACCATGTGGCAGTTCTCTATCCTCAGTTCATGATCAACCACCATGGCATTGAGATCCCAGTTTCCCACTTGTCCTATGCGCAGTTCCAGGCCATTGGGGCCGAACGCGGTGTCAATCAGCCCCAGATCCTCCAATTCTTGGAAACAGAGGGGGTTAACGACATGCCGAAAACTCATCGACTCCTCGCCGCGTCTTTCTTGTCGCTGCATGATGTCTTGCGCAAGCTCCCCATTGACTTGAATGTCAACATCTCTCTTCTCTACCCATCACCCGCGGAAGAAAAGATGCTCGACATGACTTCATTGGCGGATATTAACAGCTTCGCCGATGCCATTCTGACTGATGTCTTTGACCACGCTCGTGTGGCTAGAGAAAAGAACCCGGACTTTATGCGTTCCGTCGTGTTTACTTCCTATAACCCCAATATCTGTACTGCGCTCAACTGGAAGCAGCCGAACTGTAAGACTTATTCCTTTGGTGGATGGTTTTGGGTGTCCTGCATCCATAATTGAACCTCTGCTAACTCCCATTAGATCCTGTTCTTCTCTGCAATGACCTAGGTCAGATTCGGGACCTTGCTCGCAACGTTGACTCTCAGCCCCAGGTTGATAGCAGTGGTCGTGCTTCGATGTCGATTAAGGAGTCTGCACGCATTGCCCAAAATAACAACTTCATGGGTCTGATTTGCAGATCCAGTCTCTTGGTAAGTCTTTGCTTTGCATCTGAGAACCTTCAAGTCCGATTCACTTCTCGACCCCTCTGCTGACCATACTGTAGAACGTTGTTCCTGCCCTTGTTGAAACTATCAAAGAGCTCGGCCTTGTGCTCGTGGCCGATACCTCGGACGAGGCCGGTCAAGACCAACGTGAAGTGCTGTCCAACGCCGATTCTATGGGCGTTGCGGAGTGGGCATACCGCATGCCCCACGGTGTCAATGGTGTGATGAGAGCCAACGGCGTCCTCAGATTCAACGATATGATTGACATGTGAACTGCACCCTCTCTTCCCTTCGGCGAGCACCTTTACATACGTCACAATCTAATTTTCGCAACGAATTACGAGCTTTGGTAGCTTTGGTGGCTTTGCCACGCCATACTTTCTCTCACTATTTGCTTTGGTTGGGTATATCAGGCAGATCTCTCTCAGCGTATGCCAACAATCTTCTTGCTATTAACTTCCTTTTTCTCGTTCCCTGTCTCATCTAGGCGCTGGAGATAGATCTGGTCTTGGTTTGGGTTGGCTGGTTTCTTTGTAGATTTAAAAAGAGGTTGAGAGGAGAAGGCAAAAATGCCGTATTAGAGAGCTAGATAGCTAATAATGTACAATGGTCCAGTCTAAATCCTGTATCCGCTATGCTATATAATCACATCACCATCATTTACTCTTCGGCTTGCGCTTTCCAATGTTCCATCCCCAACCCCGGAGCGTCTTGACGACCTTTGGCGTCACGGCAGCCGTCAAAGGAACCCGAATGAAGATAAAGCTCTTGTGGATAGCGTACGCAAGAGCAAGCTGAGTCCAAATACCTACAGTGAGAAAATGCCAGTCAGTCATCGATCTCGACTCAAAACAATAACAAAAAACAGAGCCGAACTTACTAGCTTCCTCCTGGTTTCGCTCCTCAGCCTGAGCAAGCTGACCCTGGCCATCACCCTCGTCCTCACCAGCCTGAACCCGAGGCCAAACACCCTTGAATCTATCCTTCAGGAATTCAACAGCAATATGCTCCCAATATCCAATGCGCTCAACGCCCAACAAGCGCACCGCCGCAAAACAGAACGGGAAGTCCAGCGCAGACAAGGCAAGGTACACACCCAGCGCAGACCATCCATACTCCCTCGAGAGCTTCTTCAACCGCTGCGAAAGCGACTCCTTCTCCGGCTGGGCCTGCGATCCTCCATTTCCAGCTGAACCGGAATTGAACCGCCGGTTGAGCCGCTGCTTAGGCTGCTGGAAGGTGCTGGGGCCTGCCCGAGGCCGAGGGCGCGCTGTCAGTCGGCTTGTCTGGCCAGGAGTAGTGGTGAGGGTTCGCCGTGTTGCTTGGAATAGGATAGAGGTGTGGCGTGGCGCAGACGTGCGTGTCGATGCGATGTATATGTTGTTTTTGGTGGTTCTTTGGAGGATCTCGCTAGGGCGCGAGATCCATTTTGAAAGGAGGCTTGGCCGTAGGGACATGGTTTGTATGTTCCCGGTTCCGGTGAAGGCGACTGGGGTGAGTGTGTGTCTATGGAGGGCGTGTCAGTCAGAAGGAAGGATTTCTGACGGGATCTTTTTTAGTTCTCGGCGTTTCCGGCTACCGGTCCGATCGGACTGCGTATATCGGGGTTAGGGAATAAGGGCATTGGTGGGTGTAGAACCTGATCTGTAGACGGTTACAAGAAAATAAAGGTGTTATTTACGCTCTTTCAAAGTACTCTATCTATATATGTAAAGCTGTGAATGTTGTGGTGAATTTTGGGTATAGTTCCAGGATTGCTGACTAACCACGACAACCAAAAACTTCCCGCATCTCAGCCAAGTCGACTAACCCTCAATATCAGCCAAGATGTCGCCGCGTCTAGGAGGGCTTCAGCTCTGCTCACCAGTCTGGGATGCATTGATTACGCCCCATGTCCCCGTGCGGACATTCGGTATCAGATCGCTCAATCCCCCCAAGCCCAGCCGCTTCAACATTGGCCCCGGCCTGCCCGTTCTCGAGTCGACGTCGACAGCGGCTCTCCGCCGCAAGGCCTTCTCCCTCCCTCTCCGCACCGGTGCCATCGCAATCAAGAAGGGCATGACCGCCATCTTCGACCCCGAGACTAGCAAGCGCATCCCCTGCACCGTCCTGCAGCTCGACCGTGTCGAAGTACTCTCCCACAAGACCCGTCAGAGACACGGATACTACGCTGTCCAGGTTGGTGCTGGCTGGAAGCACCCCAACAATGTTACCAAGTCTCTCCTCGGTCACTTCTCCGTGAATGGCCTCTCGCCCAAGCGTCACATTTTCGAGTTCCGTGTCAAGGATCAGGCCGGTCTCCTCCCCATTGGTTCGAGCATTGAGGCAGGCTGGTTCCAGGAAGGCCAGTTTGTTGATGCTCGCTCTAACACCAAGGGTAAGGGCTTTGCTGGTGTTATGAAGAGACACGGCTTCGGTGGTCAGGACCGTAGTCACGGTGTGAGTTTGACGCATCGTTCCATGGGTTCTTCCGGTCCCGGTCAGGGTGGTGGTTCTCGTGTCTACCCTGGTAAGAAGATGGCTGGAAACATGGGCAACCAGCAGAACACCGTTCAGAACTTGAAGATTCTCAAGGTGGATTCTGAGAATGGAATTGTGGTTGTGAGCGGTATGTGATCCGAATTCTGATTTTGCTCTGGGACGCCCTTTTTGCTAACGTTGTTCGAATCTGTAGGTGCTGTCAGTGGTCCCAAGGGTTGCGTCGTGAGAATTCAGGATGCGATCAAGAAGCCATGGCCCGAGATGCCGCAGGCAGAGACTGCGGAACCTGCTGCCGCAACTGCTTAATCGATTGGAGATTTTCCTCGGCTTTGGACGGCATGTACTATTACACTATACGCGCGATATTGTTTGACTTGAGCGGCGTTTGTATATTGATACATAAAATGATATCCTTCTTCCTTTTTCTCTCAATAGCCACTGTTCCTTGCGAGAACTTTGCCAATTCGGCTGATAACGCAACAAATGGTCCCATAAATGATGTTCCAGAACGCCTGAGCCCATGCACTACTTTATCTGTACACACAGCCACCAGTCTTCAGTTTTGCCGGAACGGATCGCTATCACTGTCAAGCAATTGAACCACATTTCCGTCCTCGGTCTCCAAGCTCCATTCCTCAGTGCGGAACTAGAATAGACGGTTAGCAATGCGAATGGTCCAGGGTATGCAGAGTAATTGTCCGTGTGTAAGAAACGAATAACGCTGAACACTTACGTAGCTCATACGATCCGGTCGAATGCTGTGGAACTTCATCTTGCCCTGGGCCTTGGTACCCTTAACCCAGAATGAGATGTTGATACGGCCATGCAATTGGTTCATCTCGCCACTAATCCAAGGGATCTGCTGCGCAAAGTAGATCTCATCACCGAGGATCTCGCGGGCCCGCGGCGATGTCCGCAGAGCATAGAGCGTGCTGTTCACCACGCTCGAAGAAGACTTTTGGTAGTTGAAGATTCCAAGCATGCCAGCTCCAGTAGCGATCACAAAGATAGGTAGAGTGTACAACCAGCGCCGTCCGCCGGAGTTGGGGTTCGGGAGCTCGCGGTCTGCGCGTCGTTCCATCAGCGGACCGGTGTTCGGGCCTGGTGCCGGCATCATTGTGCGCCGTGAAGGGGCGTTTTGACGGCCTGGTAGCCGGGCGAGCCCAGCACGCCGGGTGAATACTCGAGAGAAGACCATGAGGGGATTGAAGATCGGATGTATTGGTCTGGGTGGAAATGGGGGGAAGTATCAGTATCGGGAAGAAAAAAAGCAAACATGACAAACAGTCCATTCGTCTCACCACCTATACTTCCAAGGTTGTCAGCTTTTATCTTCTTCACTATCATGGCTGCTGTGAGATTACGCAAGGCCTTTCGTTATCCCGAGGAATCGGATGGCGAACGCGAGGAGCTGGACGATGAGGAGCAGGAACAGGTCATCGAACAGTTGCAGAGCCAGAACGATGCCCGCAATGCTCAGTACAGCGTACATATCTTCCCATGTATTTGATGGCCAACGCTAAATATTTTTAGATGGTTTTCACTGCACTCCCACTGATAACTGCCATGGTATTTGTGTCCTCGGTGCTGTCAGCTTCGAGTCACTTCGAACGGCTATTCTCTCTCCTCGGGCTGGTCTCATTGTTGACAACGGCGTACATCATGAGAAGCTCCCCGCTTCAGCCAGACCGTAAAGGCAAGAAGCCCATGACGGTCCGTAATGAGCGGATGGCTCGCTTGCATGCGGGTCTGGTGCCTGGAACTAGTGCAGTCTGCTTGTTACTGGCTTTGGTGTATCTCTCTGCGGGATCTTCATGGGGCATTCGGCCACTGCTCTACTTGATGCCTGGAGGTATGGTTTCCTTGTCTTTTACTGCCCGAACAGCGCCTGATCGTCTACTATAGTCATGCTTGCGACGATTCTTCTCGCGCAAAAGGTGATGCGCTCTGTAGACCTCACCCCCCTCAAAGATCTACAGTACGAATACAAAGGAGCTTAGCCAGGTACACGAGACAATGTGAAATAGTTGAATGTCTGATTTCGTGTGTTCATTATTAAAGTACAAGCCAGATTTGTTAAAAAAAAAAAAAAATCGTCGCAGAAGGGTGCAGCCCTTCGGGGAATCTTAAACAAACAATTGCAAGCTCGCCAGGAACCAAATAGCACTCTCAAGGAATCAAATTCGTTCGTGGACTCTGTTCATTTGTGGGGGGCGTGTTCTCCGAATGTTGAATCAGCCTCAGTCTTCCAAGTTCAGAAAGGCGTTGTTGAGCATCAGGGACGGATCAACAGGAATATCTTCATCCAGGCGTTGGTGCTCTGCGTCGTCATCTTTGGCGCCGCTTCCGTTCAACTGTCCATTGCCATTGCCATTGCTAGTTTGGGTCTGGTGTTCCGGTGGGCTGGACTCGAAAAGAAACCCATGTTCTTCCAGAGTTTTTTGCCGTTCTAATTCGGCGGACTCGGCTTCATCTTGGTGTTTCCGGATCCGCCCATGAACGTCATCGCCGAATTTCTTTAACCACCAGAGATTGGACTTGCGGAAGTCCACCAAAGTCTCCACGCTCCGAGGGTCCGCCACCTTGCTGGTATCATGCCCAAGAACGGTGCAGTTGGGCTCATAGGGCCGCATTGTGGAGTCACGTTTGCAGGCTCCACAGCTGCATACTTTCAGGCACTTTGGACATAACCAGTGATATTTCTCCATGACGGCTTGTGGTGGGATTTCAAAGGCCCGGAATAGACTGCCATAGCAGTATCGCTGATCACAATTTGAACAAGGGGCGAGCTTCCAATTGACTTCAAAATGGAAGCAGACGTGGCAGCGATGAACATCCTCCGAATCGATCTTTTTTGGCTTCCGAACTTTTTTGCGCTTTCGAGATCGGCTGTCGTCCTCTGACCCACTGGCTGTATCGAGTATCTCTGCCTTCTTGACAGCCTTGGGCTTCTTGGGATCGTTCCAAGGCCGACGTGCCATTTGCTCCTGGCAAATTTCCGCAATCGTTTTGGTGGCCGCTTTTCCTCGAGCGACAACAAAGGTGGGGTAGTCGGACTTGAGGCTCTTGTTCGCTGGATCGGAAGAAATGATTAGACGTCGCCATGTCTCATAGCGATCTATCAGATCCTTCCAATGGAACTGCTCCACCCATTTCAGGTTGGAAATGCATCCGCAGCTCCTTCCCATAACGTAGCAGTCCATACATACGTCGTATGGATCCTCGTCCCCGCCCAGAGAATGCGCACAGCCGGGGCAGGTAAGGAAACGGTTGAAGATATTGCACCTGCAGTACGAGCAGGTGACATTGCTTTGGAAAGCATGATACTCAACTTCTTTTTCTGGGGTCTTCCGAGAAAATGTTTCGGACAACAAAATGTCTGTGAACATACTGAAGAGTCTTTTGAAGACGGCCCACAACTCGTCAACCACCGGGTGCTCGACCTTCGTTGCCTGTCGCAACATCTTTGCATATCGCTCAAGGGTAAAGAAAACAATTGCTTTGTTCTTGTATTGTTCATCCCGGCAAACCATCCTCGCATGTGGTAGCGCTTCACCTAGGGCCAGCTCCAGCGTATCAACAGTAGTCCGATTCCACGCCACCTTGATAGTGCGCGTGCCGCGATTCCAAACCTGGTGGGCTGCAAGAGGAGGAACTAGAATAAGGTCACCGGGTTTCTGCTTCACGACCCACGTCTTAAAGGGAGCAATAGCCCATGCGTGCATGGGGGCGAAATAATCCTCAATGTCAATGTCATGCCCCAGAACAGACATCCAGTACTCGGACACAACGCGCCGGTCCTTTGTTTGGGTCATAAACCAGATCGACGAGCCGGGGTCTGTGTCTTGGCCGTTCTCCGGAGTACCATCTGAAGCATCCACCATGATGTTGTGGCCAAGACTAGCACACATCTCTTGGTGGGCTGGTGTGAAGGTCCCTTCATGGCCAATGTAACACATCAGATTTTCAGCCCGCATACTTGGTGGAAGACTGCTCATTAGATCGCCCGCTAGGGCAAGTGGTTCGCCCTGTGAGGATTTGGGGTACGAGGACACGTTCGTATCAGATGATGCAGGCCCAGAGAAAGGCTTTGGGGAATCATTTAGGTAAAACAAGGCCGGTGGAATGAGTTTCTCGAGGTTTTCCTGCCACTCCGAAGGGCAGTCGATGTCCTTCATGTAAAGCCGCTGGCAGGTTTTGTCCATGTAGTTATCAGGAGTGATTTTTTTGGACAAGAGCGGAAGGCTTTTCAGATAATGCCCTATAGTGAATGGCCGGTTGTTTTTCTTGCTGAGATCACGAACATCTTCAACTGTCAAGAGAAAGATGAGGTTAGATTTGGCCAAGTAAGACGAACGTACAGTCAAGTGAATCAGCTTACTTTTTGACGAATACTTCTCTCGGAGCCATTTCTCGGAGAAGAGGTATTTGTCCCACCGTTGCTGAAACCCTTCCACGACAAGCGGTCTGCCGGTCAAAACCACTTGGAAATGGGCGAGCTTCTCAAATTGCTCGAGAGAGAATCTATCGAGCGAGTCACAAGTGACCCGGTCCGCGAACTGGAAGTTCTCCGTCGTATCCACGACATAGTCAATATCGAGGTCTGGGGGCATTGGCTCGAAGGCTAAGCGGGCTCGGTGAGCGGGCATCTCGATTGTGCTGGGATCGAACTAGTGTGCACTTCTTTTCGGGGTTTGATAGATGGTAAAGTGCATTTTGTGGAAGAGAAATGGCAGTGAGGAAAATCCGGTGCAAGTGTCAGACGGTTGCGAGAAGAAAGGATCTGAGCCTCATTACCTGAGGATGCGCAATTCAACGGTGAAGCTTATCGTGTTTGGGCAGTGGACTTGACAATGATACGATAGACACGATAGATACGATAGACACGAAGTACACCAGAAAGTAGGAAGAATCGAGTAGGGTGTTCGAAGGCAGGTAGGGGAAAGGAAGTGGAAGTTGCATCGCAATGAGTTCGTCTGGGGAACGCGGGATGCCGCGTCGATAAGCGCGCCTCAGGCAGAAACCACACGTGAAAGTCATTTCGCGTTGGAGATTCAGAAATTAGTTACAAGAGACATGTAAGAAGACGTCTAAAAAGACCGTGATGTCTACAGATCTCCAAAGTCTCAAAAAAAGACCATTTGGTTCTGATCCTTGAGATATAAGTTAACATTCAAACAGTAATGTACCTAGATATTTCCCAATTAGGCTTAGGGGGAGCCGCTTTTTTCCATGACGATGTATTCCCGGAGCTCTCCAGCATTCAAATGGCTCTGAGATCATGATGAATATTGCGATTGATTGACCCTTTTAGTTTTCTCCCTTCTTGCGCCATTCCACAATGCTATCCACCGGCTGCCGTTCCTTCCGTCGGTTATCCCCATATACCACCCCGAAGGCTGCTTTCACTCGCCGGTCCATCGGTCGCCTCTCACCCCTTGCTCACAATGCTTGTCTATATACGCAATTGAAAGCCCACAGTCTCTCTAGCCCATCGTCTAGTACGGCTCTGCGAACAGCACAAGCCAAATTCCGGTACAGCTCGCAATTACAGTCACCCGCGGCTCAGCCAGTCGAGTCAGATGGCGCAGAGAAGAACCCCGCCACTCACTATATTCCGCCAAAGACCGGCTTGATCGCGTCCTTGCCGAGATCATGGATTCCATATGCGGAGTTGGTGCGACTGGATAAGCCCACGGGCACGTACTACCTATTCTTCCCAACACTCTTTTCCACTCTTCTCGCAGCACCAATGGCTGCCGGTGCGACACCACTTCAGGTCCTTGGCACCGTAGGGCTCTTCTTCTCTGGTGCTCTGATCATGCGGGGTGCAGGCTGCGCGATCAATGACTTGTGGGACCGGAACCTAGACCCCCATGTTGAACGCACCAAATTCCGACCCATTGCCAGAGGCGCGCTTTCGCCGAAAAACGCAGTGCTCTTTACTGGGACACAACTGCTGGCCGGGTTGGGGGTTCTTCTTTCATTTCCCTCTCAGTGTCTCTGGTATGGAGTTCCTAGTCTGCCCATCGTGGTAGCTTATCCCCTGGCCAAGCGTGTGACCAACTATCCACAGGCTGTTTTGGGTCTTGCCTTTTCCTGGGGCGCGATCATGGGATTCCCGGCATTGGGTGTAGACCTGCTTGCCAATCACGATGCTTTGATGGCCGCGGGTGCCCTTTACTCCAGCTGCATTGCTTGGACGGTTCTGTACGATATGATTTATGCACACATGGATATTAAAGATGATGCCGCCGCTGGGATCAAGTCAATTGCCCTCCGTCACGAGCACAATACCAAAGCTGTCTTGAGTGGTCTGGCGGCAGTTCAGGTCTCGCTCCTCGCAGCCGCAGGAGTTGCCGCTGGTTGTGGGCCTGTCTTCTTCGTGGGTAGCTGTGGCAGTGCGGTTGTATCCCTTGGCCTTATGATCTGGAAGGTCCAGTTGAAGAATGTTCGGAACTGCTGGTGGTGGTTCAAAAACGGGTGCCTGTTGACCGGTGGAGGAATCTCCTTGGGCTTGCTGGGCGAATATGCCACAGAATACCTTGGTCTGTACAATAACACGAAGGCCTCAGAGGCCAACCTGACACAGTAAGAAATGTAACAATAGAACTGATTTCAAGCACAAGTTTCAGGTCGTCTATGTGGGCTAGGTAATTTTGAATGGCTGACAAGTCCAGATACCATGTACAAGATTTATTTGTAAATTAAGTCTGCTTCGGACTTTTACTTGGAATGTTTTTGACTAGCAGAAATACATCAAGGTACATGTATATATGGAAGTCCTTGTAACAAGTTCGGGTGTAGTGGAGATCGACGTAACTGGAACTAACCAACCGCTGATTAAATAATACTAACCCTCCCGGAGTCTTTCGCAACTCATCATCTTTTTTTCCCATTCTCACATTATAACCATGTTTTCCAGAGCTATCGCCTCGGTACGTATCATACTTTTAAATGACAGACTGTTCCACTGACACATGAAGACTTTCCGCCCGGTCTCTCGGCCAACCTTCTTGCGCCCCATCCGCTCGGCCATCCAGTTCCCCTCCGGTCCCTCTATCCCTTCTGCTCTCCATGCACGCCTTTTGTCCAATGAAACCCGGACAGCGATTGACAAGGCCGTTGCCTCCGCCCCGGTTGTTCTGTTCATGAAGGGTACCCCCGAGACGCCGCAGTGTGGTTTCTCGCGTGCCAGCATTCAAATCCTAGGTCTGCAGGGCGTTGACCCCAAGAAGTTTGTTGCATTCAATGTGCTCGAGGATGCTGAGCTGCGTCAAGGTATGGATCGCTTGAAGTGTGGGGTTTGTCCTTCAGTCTCGGTATGCTAATTGCCATGAATCATCAGGTGTGAAGGAGTACTCAGAGTGGCCGACAATTCCCCAGCTATATCTGGAGAAGGAGTTCATTGGTGGCTGTGATATTCTGATGTCTATGCACCAGAATGGCGAGCTTGCAAAGCTTCTCGAGACCAAGGGTGTTCTGGTCGCGGCGGATGAATAAATGGGCCCAGGTGCAAGATGTTGGCCGTTCCATCTGGTAGATGGTTGTCTCTGTAAAAACTATTTGTCTCTAATGTATTTTGGTCGGAATATACTGCGGGTCAGAATGCCTCGGTCAGATAGAAATCTGACGAATGGCGATAATCTCCAATCTACAAGGGTACTGGGTAGCTGATCCTGGGTCTTCTAGAAAGTGATGGTGACTGCGCCGCGAAAGAATGAGCTGGCGCCTTGCCTTGTTAGAACCCCAGTTGATGAGGTTGTGGCTTTGTATGTACAGTTGATCTCATTACATTAATATTTCCCCATCTGCCTATTTTAATGCTTGCTCTGCTTGTTCTCTCGACTTCACCAGATCCTCGGCAACACCTTTGTCCAGCTTGGCACGTTGCCTGGCCTCATAGGCTTCTCGGCTCTTCAAAATCCGGCCAACGATCTCACCAGCGTTGACGTGCTGGAAAGCATGCTGCTCAACTTCCCTGAAGATTCCCATTTGCTTAGGGGCAGTGTATGGGTCATAAGTCAACGGAATAAATGTTGTAGGACCATGGTAGACAGCATCGGGAGTGCCCCATGGAATCGCCTTCAGGTATGGTTCGCTGGGGGTGAAGGGTGCAGAGAAAATGACAGCATGGATGTACTAGAAAAAAAGTCAGCAATATTTCTAATGCGTCAAGCAGTAGACTTACGCGGCATTGGAGAACGCAGAGACCGCGCTCGAAAATGTTCATGATTGGGTAGTTCAACCCTTTCCAGTGGTTAATCACGTCGTCATCATGGATACCTGCAACGATGTAGGCGGGAGAATAGTCTTCGTTGTAGCCCTTCAATCTCTCCGCAGTCTGATCTGGCTCATACCAACCGTTCTGACGGCCTAGCTTTTCTTCAAGCTCCATGACTTTGCGCAGGAACGCAATGTGACCTGAGGAGAAAAGGTCGAAGCCTCCGTCAACGTAAACAATACGCTGCCCGGGCTTGGGACCCTTTCCATCGACCAGCGTCTCGAAAAGACCAGGCTCCTCAACCACATGGTCCATTTTTGCAGTGCCTGAACCAGTCCATGTCCAAACTTGAGGACCAGGCTGCAGACCACTCTCGTCTGTAGCATAGTCCTTAATCCTCTGTAGAAGATCCGTAGCGGAACTTTTGCGCTCCTCGGGGCTTCCAAATCCTTCTTGTCCGGCGAGAGTACCCTTGACAGATTTAACAAAATGGTTCCTGGTGCACAACAACATGCGGCCAACAAGGTCCGTAGTCGATATCCCAGGGGTTCTTTTGACGACGCGGAAACGGTCAGCTGCTTTGACAAATCGATAGCAATCGTTTCCATCACTATCAGAGGTGATATCGTCTCCATGAACAACGTATTTACATCCGTAATGTGATACCCAGGGTAGGTAGGTCACGTAGGGGGCATAGGGAACGCTCTGAGTAGCCCACCGACACGCGTCGACAGCCGCAACACTATAGAATGAGCACGTTAGCTGTATACTAGGGTACGGAACAGGACAAGGCAAACTGACCGTTCTTCAAGTGACATCACTGTCGGGCCTTTGTTTTCGAGGATTGCTTGGTCGGAGTGTATCCCCACGTAGAGTTCCTTCCCTAGCTGACGGGCCTGGAGCATAGCACCTGCATGACCTGTAGATTGGCTCCGATCAGCTTTTAGCGGTTGAATAAGAGGTAATACTTTAGACTTACCGTGGTGGCTGAAGTCGAAGCAACCATCAACCCAAAGTCGATCCTCCGAGATTGGCACATCCTCCTGAGGGTCAACTGGCCATTGTCCAGGCAGAGGAATCTGTTCTTCGAGGGGTGTGGTGTCCATGTTGATACTGCCAGACAAATCGTGAATACCTGTAGGGAAAAAAGCAAGAGGGGTGGAGGGGGATGATCGACGGAATAAATTACTAGAGAGTACGGGGGTACACGGTATGTAATCCCTTCACACTCTGACTTGCGGGGGACTTTCTCTAGATCCCAGTCTCGCAGGGCCTCTTTTCGCCAATTTTTGAACTGCATCTACCACGGTGATCTGATCGGTCACTTCGTGTCTTCGTTCGGAGACCTCCCACGCCTTGGGCCCCTGTTCGCAACCCCTGTCGACCACCTCGTATCGTTTGAATCCCCCCGACCGCCCCAACGACGCAGCGACGCCAATGGTGCCCTCTACTTTTGCCCCGAGTCTGTCGCGGAGGGACACAGCCAAGTCGGGTGGTGGATTTGAAAGTTCCCATGGCATCCCACCACCAGTATCCAGCGGAGGTGGTCTGCTCGGACCGCAGAGTGCAGGCGCAATCTATCAACAGATTCATGAGATGGCCGCTAAACGAATATCGACCCTGGACTACTTGAGAAAAGCGTGAGTGGAGAATCCAGTCGGTCGACAAACAAACTAACTGTCCCCGCAGTCATGAAGGTCGGGTCTATTGGTTTAATACCGTGCATTTCTCGCGAGCTGATATCGCGCGTCTGCCATACTTTGAGGCCCGAAAACTCTCTCGTCGAGCAATCAATTACCTGCTACTTGGCCTATCCTTGCCGCCGATCCTAGACGTCAATTCAACTCCGTTTGAGTATCTAAAAGCCCTCAATGCGCTACTCTTAGAATTTGAGGCTTTCCAGCAAGTGCACCCTCCGGATGGCAGTTCCTCGTCCAGTCTTGCCAGGGCGCGCATCCCACAAATGTTCAAGCGAGCTGCACATGCAGGAACCAAGACTCGTCGTGCAAGTTCTGCAACCGAGATCGGACTCCCAATGCAGTCCAGCGATCCATCAGATTTGAAGAACATGGCAGGCAATCTTTCGTCAACTTCCTCTTCCGCAGCCTCTATTGTGTCGTTTCCATTAACAGAGTCTTCTGATCTTCTCCCCGGAGAGGAATATACCTATCTTCTCACACCCTCATTGCCCTTCGAACCAGACTTCTTTGAGACGTTCGCCACCCTGTGCGATGTTTTGATTGACTGCTATAGTCGGCTTACCACACTAGTGTCGTCTCCTTCAGTTTGCACTGTGGCTCTGGGTGAGGCGTTTTCCAAAGCCGATGCCAAGCTACGGAAGATTATGGTGGCTGGCGCTGTGCGGGAGTTTGAAGACGCGAGCCGGAATAGTGTCAAAAACGAAGTTGCCGGCGTCAGCCGGGTGGTTCTTGGCGGACTATTGGGATAGTGTTTTGCTTTTGTGAGGAGTATATACCTTCCGGTCTGGAGTTTGGATGATTTCAGGACATAACTTTTTTT